ATATAACACAATGTTATTTAATCCAATCTAATCTAATCTATTCTAATCTAATCTAATATAATATCATCCAATATGATATAATCTGATCCAATATGATCTAATATGATATGATGTAATATGGTATGATATGATATGATATGATATGATATGATATGATATATGATATGATGTAACATAATATTTTATGAAGATCCCATAGAATCCAGTCAACCATATATCTCCGCAATCTTCTTCTTTCAGTGACCACGGCAAGCCTTTGCGAGATGCCTCTTCATTCTATTGGCTAAAGCAAAACATCCACGTATACAGGAGGACCGATCCGTCGACTTTTCAAGAGGAAGACGTTTGAAGTACCCAAAGACATCGCCATTCCAATTTCCAGCGCCATAATAATAATAATAATTCTGGACATTGTGGTGAAATCAGGCGATCATCTAAATAACGGAATCGAAGAAACCAACACTTTTTCCGTACATTGTGTAAATTGTTATTGAATTTTTTGTTTTGGGCTCAACTCTTTTTATGTACTTTTAAATATACAATCCTGCTTGGATTTTACTGAAAAAAACTTTGATCAAAGACACACAAAAAAGAAAATTTGAGTTTCCAAGAACATTACATAAGTTGAAAGTCACCATATTTTGGCGGTCATTTTCTTATTATTAATTTTACCCCTAATACCAAACTATCTCACCTCCTTGAATCGCAGATATCTCGACTTCTGTTAAAGATACATGGGTATTTTTTCCTTTTAAACCAAGGATATTGAAACAGAATTTAAGATTATGCCGATAGCTCCATATACTCCCAAAACGGACGAGCGCCTGATGTCACCTTGTTGTGAAGCATTGGCATTACACTTGTATTGATATTTGAAGCATCGACGTGTTAATATATTATGTGTGTGTATACCTGGACAAAGGACCCAGATGTCATCAAAGCTATTTTTTGAGCAAAGGTGTGAGAATACTTTTTTTTTTTTAAGAAAAGAAAAGAAAAAGCCCCAGCGGGTCAAAAAATTTAGTTCCATTAAAATGCACACGTTAAACCATTTCTTAAAACATGTTGAAAGGATTTTATAATATTAATTGGAGTCTAAATAATTTTAATTAATTATTTTTGAAACGTGTTGTACTTCACCAAAAGTTCAAGCTGTGTTACAAGGTTTTTCTCCAAGCTTTGTTTCTACTCCCTGAGTTACAAATTGTGACATATCTATAAAACTAATTAAGATATTTGAAAGAAATAAAATTAAAAAAACAGCGTGTCCAGCATTGGAATCGCTACAAGAATGTGCCCAATTTTTAATATCCAAGATGTCTGACAATTGGTACCTTTCTCCAGGCACACACACACACACACACATACACACACACACACACACACACACACACACACACACACACACACACACACACACACACACACAGACACACACGCGCGCGCGCGCAAGTGAAATGATCAGACGAAGGGATTATTATTATTATTATTATTATTGAATTTTGAAAGGAATAATGGAATAAGCCATAGTTATATTATTATGATCTACTGGGGGTGGAGCCCTCTGGAGGTTGGACACATTTGACCCACAGGACATTAGGGAACTAGCAGGACATATGCGTACTACAGGGTTCTGTGTCTTTCGTCTTTAAATCAGGACACAAGCTTGCTTTGTGAATAGTACAATAGGTACAATAGATTATGACTTTCTCGAAACTGTCATTTGCTAGGATGTTGAGGTGAAATGATGAGACGAAGGTATTATTATTATTTAATTATGAAAGGAATAATCATATCAAACATAATTATATTATTATGACCTACTGGAGTTGGAGCAGTGCCCATCTTCTCAGTCTTAGTTAGCGTTGTTGTTAACTCTGGTTGAAAAATTCCACTAAAATCGTGTGCTTCGTTTACTTAAGCGGTACATAATACATGTACAATAGCCAGCAAGTGGCCACAGCATTGTTGATGATGTAATATAGAAAAAAACTGTCTACGTATTTTGATCTTCTAGGAGGTTCACACCTCCCATGTTAGCAGTGGTTAGAACACATTTTCAGTATTACATCCCGATGGGGAGCTCGAAATCAGATAGGACATATACTGTCCACTGTCCACCTAGGCACAATAAGGATATTGTATGTCTTAGTGAACAAAAATAAAAAGACAATGAACGTACGTTAGAAACTCGCTAATAAAACGGTGTGATTATTTTTCTTTCTTTTTTCTAGTCTCCAAACCCTGCAAAAGGCTCAAGTGTCTACTGCTACTACCACTCGGAACGACGCTAAATTCTTGGATCAAAGGAACATGCTGTCAAAGCATCTGAACGAAATGAAACGGCTGTACGGACAGCAGAGCTGTAATATGATGGCTCTCCAAGCTAAAGCTGGAGGACAAGTAAGTCTGTAGAGAAGTTGTCCCTGATTCCTCGGATGATGAAATGGAAAACCATGTATTTTTTGTCATCCATACACAGTCGATATGAATGTCCAGTTATTTTTAGTCATCTACTTACAGTCGATGCATATAACCAGTTATTTGTAGTTATCCATATACAGTCTATATGGATGTCCATTTATTTGTTGTCCTCCATATACAGTCGATATAGATAACCAGTTATTTGTAGTCATCCATACACAGTCAATATGGATAACTATTATTTTTAGTCATCTATATACAGTCGATATTGATAACCAGTGTTTTGTAGTCATCCATGGGGCTCTCGTGGCCTAGAGGTTATGGTGTATGCCGCTTATTCAAAAGGTTCCGGAGTCGAATCCGTGTAGCAACGGAAAAATGTTCTTTTCTAAAATTGCCACCTTTCACTTTCTTTCTTGCTTTCTAGCTATGTTGTGTCGCCTCCACTTTCTGTCTTCAACCCCTCACCTCCCTTGCCCCCTCCCCTAGGCTCCTGACTCTTTCTGCAGCCTTTCTACTGCTACTCCTTGGCTCCTTCTTACTTATGTCTTTCAGCCTCACCCCTGATCTTCTGGTAGGAAAGATCTACACCTAGTCTTCTCGGAAAAGGGCGAAAAATCTCCGAGGTCCCGTGTGCAAGTAACGCATGTTAAAGATCCCTTGGTTGTCCAAAATCGATAAGAGTAGGCTTTGGCCACCACTCGGATAGTATTCAAAATTTCCCACCAACTGAAAATGTTTGGTGTGTCCCACGCGCTCTTATGACCTTCTGCAGATGCGAGCGCCGTAAAACACCTACCAAAAAACAAACAAAAAGGGAGTCATCGATATCCATTCCAACCAGTCAAAGAGCACCACCCATTGTCGTGAAGAAAAATTGTCATCTTCGACAGGTGGTCATCTTGAGCTGTGTCATTATAACAAGGAGACACGCAGGAGAGGAAATGGGAAATGGTATTCTGTACTGATGTTTGTCTGGGACATGTGGTTGTTGGAGCAGGTTTTCAGTTTTCAGTTAGTTCCACTTTTCTGGGTGGTTCTGGGCTGCTTTCGGATGGATCAGTTTACGGAGTAATCTGTCTCTTTGTGTCTCCTATTTTCACGATTTTATAAAAAAGAGGAACAGAGGCGATCACTAGCTTGGAAAACTTTTTCTTCCAACGAGTTCTTTCGATGACAATTCACGACCAACATCCCCCAGCTCCCTTCATCTACGACGTCGACTGTATCTAAACAACAAACAGTGAAATTACTGTGTGATATGTGAAGGGTGCTGACTAAATGAGTTACTTCTCGGATTTGAGCCCTATGGAAATCGCTACATCACGCTTATAGGTGAAGTTTTTACAATTTATAACTAGGAAATAATATAAGGCATGCTTTACTTAAAGAATATGACATCAATAGAAAATCTACAAATTTGGCCCTAGTGTTGATTTTGGGCTAATATCTCCATTTGTGGATTGTGAGAAGTAACTCATTTTGTCAGCACGCCTCACATATAGACCTAGCTTTTTCTCTTGGTTTCGTAGGCTATTCATTGGGTTAAAAATAGAAATACAGTAATCAATGTTTAGGCCTTCAAACAGCTAAAACGCCTTATTGTTATCAGTCCGAGGCTTTGAATTTAAGATACAGTTCTTCATTATTAAGCTAGTTATCTCTGGAGTTACTGATGTATCCCGTGCCTCTTGGTCTTAGTCCTTGAGTAAATCAATGTCAAAACGTTACAAGTGCAAGCCTGTGTCCGACTGTTTGTTTATTATTTTGTTTCGTTTGAGTAAGAAGCACACACTCTCTCTCTCTCTCTCTCTCTCTCT